CGGGCCGCGTCGGCCATCGATGCGAGCGGGGCGCGCGTTTTCCCCGCGGTGCAGGCTGCGCGTGACCTGCGCTGAAGGCGCGAGTCGAAACGCCCCCGCCCCCTTCCTTGGCGCCCTCCCTCCACGCCGTGCGCGCCGCGGGGAACCGCCGAGCTTCGTGGCCAGCTTGGCGGGGGGCATCGTCTGGGCCTGCTCGCGTCTGCGAGCTGCTCCGTCGCGGCAGTCGAGGTCCGGGCGTCGGCGGCGGGCGGGGTCGCGTAGTCGATCTGCGTCGGCTCGAACTTGAAGCGGCAGCGGAATGTGTGGCGTGCTGGCTATGGCGCGAACGTGTTGGCGGCGGCAAAGTCGACCTCCTTCGTGAAGCGAATGAGGAGCTTCTCGCGGACGCTGCGGGTTCCCTTCGCGAACCGCCCAACCCGTCGAACCTCGTCCTTCCCGACGAGGCGGTCTCAGGAGCGTCTGCGCGTCGATGCCCAGGATCGGGCGGGCCCCACTTCTGCAATGAGTAGAAGGTCCTGGATCTCAGGTGTGGAGTTCTGGTAAGAGCTGAGTGCATTCGTTGCACAGCTTCGAAAATTTGGCCAGTGAGCGGCCCCAGGGGGCCGCGTCGCCGTGCGAGTGCGTTTGTATTCGACGAAGACGAATAAAACATGCCCATTTGCTTCCGCCCGACCGCTGCGGAGCCGCGATAAATAATGTGCCCACCTCGCTGACCTCTGGCGTCGTGGATCTCCTCCCGCCCACGATCTTCTGCATCGCGGCGATGTCGTAGTCCTTCTGCTCCCGTATGATCGCCGCGAGGAAATTGGCCGGGCCCTTCGTCACTCCTTCGGCTATCCGTTCTAAAAACGGCCACGGACCCTTCGGTCACTGTGAACATGTTTCTGTTCGGTGGCCAACGTTCAGAATGGCCTGGGAAATAATGTTCATGTCGCTGTCGGTCTTGCAGCCGATGTCCTCCACAAACTTCATCATAGCTGGTCCCCGCAGAGGCGCGCCGAACTGGTCCTCGTTCTACCGCGCGGTGCCCCTCGTGTTTTCGATCTCTTCGTGGTCCGTCCTCGTCGCCATCGTCGATCTGCGGAGTTCGCCCTGGCAGTTCGACACTGGGAGCCAGAAGCGCTTGCCAGGGCGTGCGTCCAACTTCGTGGTCCTGCCCTCGCCGGTCGCCCACGTCCACATGCGGCATGCGCTGACGAGACAGACCTTCACAAAAAACTCGCGCGCGTCATCGGGACGCGCGCTCTCCGTCCTCGGCCCTTGTCTGGTATATCAAGGCGGTGATCGCTATTCGGCCTCCTGCCGGATCCGGTCCCGCAGATGTGTGCCGTGGATCCACCCACCAGTCGCGACACAGACCTTCAGAGCTTTCGTTCTCGGCGGCCCATTGCCCTCGCGATCGGCAGACTGCTATGCTGAACCACCTCGGCTCCCTCCACCGCACTCGCCAACGCAAGTGCTAGCTGCCGACATCGCCGACCCGACCTCCATTCTGGTCCGTTCCTGTTCGTTGACGCGCCCATCATGCTGCTCCACGTCCCCCTTCAAGCCCGAACGCCCCGAACGCACCTCGGCAAACTGAATGGCCATCGGCTCGCTTACCCCGTCAAGGAATTTCGCGGAATAGCGACATGGGCGAGCCCCTGCTCAGTGACGCTTGGGCTCAAATTGCAAAGGATGGTGAATATGAAGATAAATATGGTGCTGCTGTTGATGATTATGACGACGGCGATGACGATGACGATGATGATGAATCTGATGATGATGATGATGAAGGAGATGAAGATGATAATGATGATGATGATGATGATGATGATTATGATGATGATGATGATGATGATGATGATGATGATGATCATGATGATGATGATGAGAAGAAAAGGGAGGAGAGAGGATGCGGAATAACAAATCATGAGGTGGAGAGAGGAAGATTGGGGAGAGAGCAGACCGGACGGGTGAAGGGAAGACGGGTAAGGATGAGGACCTCTCCCTTGTGCCTCCTCCCTTCCTGGAGGAAGGAAGCGACGAAGGAGCTTCGCGTGGATCTCTTGGGGTCGGCGCCAGAACCCACTGGTGGCCCCTCTGGCGCGCCCTCGGTGCGCTCCACGCAGGAAGGAGGGGGCCCAGCGCCGACCTCAAGAAATCCGCGCGGAGCTCCGAACACGTCTCCAACTTCTTGAACTCGAAGGCGCCGGGCTCGCCCGTGGTGAACTGATAGCTGCCTGGCCTCGCGGGCCCAGCGGCTGGCAGCGCTGGATGCACCACCCCCTCCTCCTCCCCAAGGAGGGGGACGGATGAGGAGGAGGAGGACGAAAAGAAGGAGGAGGAGGAGGAGGAGGAGGAGGAGGAGGAGGAGGGGAGGAGGAGGAGGAGGAGGAGGAAGAGGAGGAGGAGGAGGAGGAGGACGACGGGAGAAAACCCAACATGCGTCAACGATGCTGCAGCGTACCCTCCTTTCCCAAAGTCCCCTCCCCAGAGGTCTCCACGCGTGCCTTCCTTTCCACTTCAAGAAGCGCCCCCTTGACAGACCAGCGCCGCACGGGCCTGCCACTCAGGCGGGGGCTCTGTTTTTGAAGAGGGGCGGCTTTGACTCCACGGAGAGGGCAGTAAGGAGAGGAGGAGGAGGAGGAGGAGGAGGAGGAGGAGGAGGAGGAGGAGGAGGAGGAGGAGGAGGAGGAGGAGGAGGAGGAGGAGGAGGAGGTCATGCAGTTCAGCGAGGTGTCAAGCGATAGCCCTGCTTTGATGCAAGACTGCCCCGTCTATGCACCCCCCGCACCAGTTTGCATCAATTTCCACCCGTGGTCGTGAGCGCACAGCAAAAGGGCTCCAGCGAGAGGACCCCTGTTGAGACACGGGCCTCCCTGCATCCGTACCGCCGCACCATTTTTGTTCGAACCTGTGGCCGTTCGCAACCCCAAGCAAGCGCCCGCCATTGAAAAGAAACCGCCCACCATCACTGTAATCACTGTGAGCTTGTAAACTGCACCGTGCAGCTGCACCGTTTGTTCAAGTTCGTGGTCGTTCTCAGCCCCAAGCGAGCGCCCGCCATTGAAAAGGAACCACCCACCATCACCGTAACCGTTGTGCGCTTGTAGAAAGAATGTATCGTCGGGAGGCCGTTCCGGTCTGCGACGTCGCCAAGATTGACCTGGAACTGGCGCGAGGAGGAGGGAGGAGGGAGGAGGGAGATGACGACTCGGAGGGAAGAGGAGGAGGAGGAGGAGGAGGAGGAGGAGGAGGAGGAGGAGGAGGAGGAGGAGGAGGAGGAGGAGGAGGAGGAGGAGGAGGAGGAGGAGGAGGAAGAGGAGTAGGAGTAGGAGGAGTAGGAGGAGGACGTGGAGGACGAGGACGTGGAGGACGAGGAGTACGGCGAGAGCCCCATTTTCAACATCCGTCCTTGAAACTGCCGCAGACTTTCACAAAAAACACGAGTGCGCGCGAAGCGCGACGGCGCGAGCCCCACTTCTGAGAAGCGGCCGCCCTCTATCGCGCAAGGCCTGCTGCCAGCTTTCTCGCCGCGCCCGTGTGCGGTGTGAGGGCGGGAGGCCGCACTTCGAAAACCCTCCGCCCTCCAACTTTGAAGCTGCTGCTGTTTTCGAGGGCAGCTGTACGCGGCGGAGGAGGAAGACGACGAGGAGGAGGACGAGGAGGAACACAACGACGCGGAGGAGGATGACGACGACGAGCACTCAGAAGAGAAAATGGTGCTGATGACGAGGAGGACGGCGCGGGGAGGAATGGAAGGAAGAGGCCGCAGAAAGACGAAGGAGGAATACTGTGCAATGCAAAAGGCGGTGAACGAGGTGGAGAAACATAATGCCGCAGCTTAGTGAAATAACATAGTGTTGGTACTGATGGTGATAACCATGGAAATCGCATCCAACTGCGTTGATTTTGTACTAGTCACACACGTCTCACGTCCCCTTCTGATCAAGCAGTGACAGAAGCTGCGCGCCGCAAAGGTAAGGGTCCTAAGGGCCTGCTAGATGTTCAAGGCCTGAGGGGGCTCGAATTGTTCTGCTCCACTGGCCCCGCCAAACATGTAGGACTTTGGGAGGCTGGAGAGCTTAGAAGATAACGGCCTGGTTGTGGCATGACGGCATGGTGAGAACTCGTTCGGCTTCACCACATGAGAGTATACCTGGTTTATATTCGACCACAGAAAGGTACACGTCACAATGAGCTTGAGAGGTCACCGTCTGCAACTCGTCTGTTTAAGCTGTATGGGCGATCCGGCCGCGACCTCAAGCAGGACGCTTTTCTGGAAAGCGTACCCAAGCAATGCAATACATCTGCACGGAATTTGCAATATAGTTTTGCACAAGAGTCATACTACACCAACTCATGCCACAATACCACCCGTCAGTTCATGGCATGGCCGAGCTTGGGATGTAATCTCACAATATACTGATGCACTGTACAGCATGGCAGAGCATGGCATTTCACTGCGAATCGTAACACGATATAGCGCTAGTAGCACGATGGCCGTCGCGAGCCTGATATCCTCAATGGTACGCAGCGAAGCGCATCATGTGGACGGCGGCTCCCAAAGAACTGTGCACCTTAATTCTTGCTTTGATAATACAGAATGCCCTGAGGTATGCGCCGAATGAGATTTTGAAGCTGTGAAATTCAACCACATTTGGTAGAACGCAATGGCACTATGCATCCTGTTTGTGTTGATGGCGACGTGAAAATTAAAATGTGTCAATGTGTGTCTGTGTATTGGTGGCCAACGGTGCCATGATCCCCATCATGCGCCGTCATGTTGATGATGCTGTGCCCGCCCAGCGTCGACTGAACAACGCAATGTGGCGTGCAACACGGTCGGTGCTATCTGGAGCTCTACGTGCCGATTTTTTTTTTTTTTTTTTTTTTTTTTTTTTTTTTTTTTTTTTAATTATTATGTGTTTTTGTTGTTTGTTTTTTTGGTCTCTCTCTCTCTGTGCAGACCAAGCTCCCAAGAGAGCCCCAAGAAGGACTCCAAAGCGTCAGCGTCGTCGTCGTCGTCCCCCTCCAGGGTCGAAGGCACCAGCCGTAAGAACTTCAAACGAAGAACTCCTAAACGCAACCGCTGTTTGGGGAATGTGGTTCTCATCTCAGAATTCGATGTTAGAAGGAAACCGCCCTGCCAGTCGTCGTCACTGCCCGAACTTCCATGCTGTTGGATCATAAGGTGCAAGGAGAGAACCACAACATAGAAACGACCCGTCCACCAATCGTGCAATTGCTGGACATTTCAAGTTCCATGATCGTGGCATGTGTGGAAGACGCCAATAGCACAGGGAGCACAGACCAATCAACGAAGTTATCTTTTGAGAGGCAAACGTGCGATCACCGAATTTTGCCACAACGCGCCGCGTTCGTGAACGCTATGCGGCCGAACTCTCCAAAACAACCTGGTCGGGATGTGCCAAAGAGGACGGAGGAAACGGATAAGCAGGATAGGCAAGAGAAAACCAGAGAAGCCAACGGAACCCGCTTCCCCAGAGGTTTCAGCCATATAGCGTTCACGACTTTCCAGGCCTCCGACGTCGTGTTTTTTTTCAGCCCGTGGGCCCTGTGAGTTCTCTTCACCTCTTCCACGACGGCTCTTCGTGGGGGCCGCTGGAGGCCCATAGTCCCAGAAACGGGGCGCTCGAAAGACCTCAGTCCTGGTTCCCAGATCCCTCTCTTTCCTCCTCCTCCTCCTCCTCGTCCTCATCATCATCATCATCCTCATCATCATTCTCTTCCTCCTCCTCCTCCTCCCCTGCCCGCATCACTTCTCACCTCTCGTCCCTACATCGACCGTCTCCTCATCGCACCACCTGGCGAGTTGGTCGGGGGGTTCCGCCCGAGACTCCTCAGTGTTGAATCCCGAAACTTTCAGCTCCCAGCACCTGCGCACACTGGAAGCCTTGGGGGTTTCCAAGAGGCCGTGCTGCTCGCATATGGGGAGGAGGAAACGGATGAGGGGGAGGAGGAGGAGAAAAAGGAGGAGGAGGAGGAAAAAGAGGAGGACGAGGAAGAGGAAGAGGAGGAAGAGGAAGAAGAGGAGGATTGTGAGGAGGAGGAAGAGAAGGAGGAGGAGGAGGAAGAGGAGTAGGCGGAGGAGGAAGAGGAGGAGGAGGAGGAGGAGGAGGAGGAGGAGGAGGAGGAGGAGGAAGAGGAGGGGGATCGATGGCGGCCCGTTTTCAAACTGTGGTTTTCGCCTTTACCTTGCACGCGTTCGTCTCGCACGGATGGAAGACAGCTCGGCTTCAAGCTGTGGCTATCGCCTGGGTGCCGCGCGCCTTTGCTTCAAACCGTTCCCATTATTGCCAAGGCGAAGGGCGGTCCTTTTTCAACATGGTGCTCTCGTTCGGTATTCACCGACAGTGCACAACGATAAATTAACCATGCGCAGCGGTTGCAAGAGTGGATGGCGGCTTCTCCTCGAGACGTGGCTCTCCCTTCTGAGGCCTCCTCAGCATCTGCGAAACCTGCGCCTCGACATGCAGCATTCTGCAGCACTTGCACGGGCGGAGGGCACCTCACTTTCAAAACGGGGCTCTGGAGTGCACTGTAGTATGTAGCTGCATGGAGTACCAAGGGATACGATGTGCAAATAGAGGGACCCGTGCTGAGAGAGAGAGAGAGAGATATAGAGAAAGAGAGAGAGAGAGAGAGAGAGAGAGAGAGAGAGAGAGAGAGAGAGAGCGCACGTTCTCTTTCCTTTTACGGGGGCTCGCGCGCGCCCGCTGCCGGCGCGCCACACAGCTCAAGGGCCCTGCGAGTCGAGACGGCCGCGGGGCGGGGAGGTGCGAGAGAGGCGCAGGAGGCAGGAAGGCCGAAGTGTATGCATAACAACCGCAAGGGCTCTCGCTAGACACTTCCTCGACCTCTTGGCCCTGCCGCGCTCGTCCAGGCAGTTCTCTCTTTCGAAGCGGGGCTCTCGCCCTGCGTGTCACAAGCCCGCGGGGGGCGCTCGTCTTCCAAGGGGGGTGCTCTTCCTGTGATGACCAGGCATGCGGGCAGCAGGGACTTACCCAAGGATGGGGATCTGGGGCGGCGGGGCGCATTACATCACTGCTGACGCATCCTGGGTTTACTCTGGCTCTCCTCCTCCTCCTCCTTCCCTCGCTCCTCCTCGCTGCTCCTCCTCCTCCTCCTCCTCCTCCTCGCTCCTTCTCCTGCTTCTCCTTTGTGACAATGCTCGGACCTGAAGCTATTATCTGGTTGCGCCCAAGAAAACGATGCTTGGCCTCAGAGGAGAGAACCGCCGACTTCGGCCTTGACGCGCAAATCAAAGCAGCCGCCAGTGCGGATAAGGAAGTGCGAACAGCTGCGGTTTAAGAGCGTGGCCCATGGTCTCCTCCTCCTCCGCCTCCTCCTCCTCCTCCTCACTGCTCCGAGGCCTGGACCAAGGAAATATGCCCGGGCCAGGAGAATCATCGGCGACGCCTCGGAGGTCTGGAATATCTACGGCTGCTCGCGCGCCGATGGGCGCCGCGGCGTGAGACGGACGACCGCCGGGCAGGCCCCCGGAGCGCCGAGTGAGAGCCGCTCGGAGGGCGCCAACTTCACAGACGTCCGGCGCCTTGGCAGAGTCGAGGCGGCCGGTGGAGCGTCCTCTCTGGCCTCTTGGGGCCTCTTGGGGCACGGGGGCCGTCCACGGAGGCCGCTCGGGGATGGAAGCGCGGCCCCAGGGAAGGGGGCGAGGGGTCCTGGGTCCACGTGTCGGGCAAGTCGAGGCGCCGGACGTCTGAGCATTTCTTTTGTTTGTCCGGCGCCGTTTTTTTGGAAGGAGAAGGAGGAGGAGGAAGGATGTCTGGGCGATAATATACACCCACGGCGGGTTCACGTCGCAGATGGCGTCGGCAGAGGCTTCTCTGACACCGTGTGGATGGTGCATCCTCGAAGGATCGCAACTTCCCGATTGCGCAGATCGTTCGACGCTGGCCGCTTCTGGGCCACCGGCAGCGTCCAATCCTGAGCGCCCGCGCCGACTCGGCGCGAGCCTATGGTTACCCCGACGCTGGCCAGGATCATCGTAGGTAGGACTGGTGCACCTGCGTGTGGAGGCGCATGCTCGATGCCGCCGGCGTCTGGCGAGGCGAATGCGGGGAACGGGAGGGTCTGGGGGCCGACGGGCAAACGTTGAAGTCTCCGAAGGCGAGCGGGGGAACTGTTCAAGACGCGTTTCTCTCCCTCCCTCGGCCGATATTTTTCGTTCGAAGGCGAGCGGCGAAACCGAGCTCGAGTGGGACCAGCACATGTCTGAGATGGCGAGCGAGAGAGCCTCTCCAGGACGCCCCCGCGGGGAACTCGACCAGTCCGTCGGAGCGCAACCAGAATCGACCCCCGCGCTCCACTGCCCCGCGCTGCTCCCCCTGGGTCCCAGGACCCCTCCTCCTCCTCCTCCTCCTCCTCCTCCTTCTCCTCCTCCTCCTCCTCCTCTTCCTCCCCTCTGGTTGGCGGCGCGTACAAGGGGCAGGGGGAGGGGGAAGGCTTCTCAGAGGCTGCTCCTCAGAAGGCGCGGGCCTTGCACCTATGGACAAGGCCCGCGCCTTCTAGAATGCAGGGGTGCTGCTAAGAAGCCTTTTCCCCCCTCCCCCTGCCCCCGTGTACGCGCGACGGCGAGACCACGACGACGACGGCGAGAACGACGGAGAAGGAGGATCCGGTATTGCTAGAAGTGCCCCTGGCCCAAGGTGCCCCCAGGATTCTCCGGGACATGAGGAAGTATCGAGCAGGAGACCTTGCCGTCGTGGCTGGGCCTTCACCAACTTGACCGACTCGCGAAGAAGTCTCGAGCGAGAGCGCCGTTCCTGAGTTCGGGGGCCTCTCCGGCCAGGGTGCCTCGGAATAAATTTGTAAGGGCTTCTAAAGCGGGAGCCGTCGTCGTCGGGGCCCAGACTTATACTCGAGCCGACGCTCGCGCGGGAGCCTCGTTTTCAAAGAACATGTATAACCGCTTCCGGAGGTCCATCAGAATTATTGAAGGGGAACTGGGACACACAAATAAATAGATACAAACAACCAGATTCCCCATATTTTCCAACTGCCCATATTTTCCCATATTTTCTGGGGAATCCACGATTCATTGTGTCTGTGTGTTTTTCCCCTCCTGAATTATTCTCCGGGTGTGAGTGTTCCGCGGGGGCGGCGACGACCGTGGGGGCGGTCGAGGGCGCTTTGCGCCGAGCGGAGGGGCCAGGGGCGCAGGCCCCCGACGCCGCGACTCCTGCGCCGCGTGGGCCGCAGGAGGTGCGGCGCCCCTGCCTCGGGTTGGGTTTAGGTCGGGCGTGCCCCCCCTGCAGGCGGGTTCAGGACGAACAGCAAAACAAACTCAAGGAAATATTCAGACATGGCAGGAGACATGGTAATGATTTTTTAAACCCTTTTGGGATATTCCTCCTGTACAGGGACGTGCCCGACTTCAGGTTAGGTCGGGCATGTCCTCCTGCAGGCGGATTTTCGAAAGGAGCACAAGACATAACAAATGGCCAAACAATGCGCAAAGATGGTCTATATCACAGTCGAACAATCGTTCCCAGACTATTCTTTGACCATTTTTGAATACTCCTCCTGTAGACAGGAATGCCCAGAATCGAGTCGATAAGTCGGATCGGCGATCGAAATGCATCGGATCGGCGGAAATCGGCAGCCGAGTGGGGAAAAGTCGAATCGGCGGAAATCGGCAGGCTAGTATGCCTCCTGTATGAAATCGAAACCTGCATTGGAATCCCAAGTCGAATCGAATCGGAATCGGAAGCCATCGAAATCGAATCCGATCGAATCGTAGATGTCGAAGCGACCCGTGGCAGAGGGACACGTCCGGCTTGCGCACCCCTTGGCCTGGAAGCCATGTTTTGATGCCCCCTCTGGCAAGGGGGCCCCCGAAGGCCGACCCCCTGGCCGCCAGACGCACGCGCACTCTTCCGCGAGGTCGCGGCGAGGCCTGGGCGCACCGACCAGGGTAGGACGAAGCCAGGACGGGGATGCCTCCGGGCGGGGATGCCTCGGGGGATCCTGA